TCTTGTAACTCTTCGTGATGCATTATTTATGAATAATGTCCCAAATTACAACAATCATTACTTGTTAGAGTGATATCTGTTAAGGACACTGGTGTTGGGTATACACTTTCCGTAGCAGTTTTAGGTATGTTAACAATGTTCTGCTTCTGTTTTTTTTATGGGCTAAAAACGGGTGTTTAAAAAGACACTTAACAGTAAGAAGCAAGACTAATTCATTAAATACTCAGAGCTTTAACATGATAAAGCGAAGCCATTTAAAGTAGGATTCATAAACCAGAGATAAGCCGAGCATTCGTGTGGATATGGACAGAATTTTTTAATTGGCTGGAGAACTAATTAATTCTGTAGTTTCACCTGATCACCGTCGAAACAGCAGCCGAGATAAAAAAAAACACACATCAAACACAAGACAGACCTCCCCGAACACCTGACACCACACAGTCCAAATAATAAATGCAGAAATATTCAGATACACACACAAATCAACACAAACACACTCCGCTGTAAAATCCCCACAGCGTTTTTTTAGCCAGTGAGGAGAAAACAAAAGCCGCTCTTTTGCTTTGAGATCAAGGTGAAATGATGAAGAAGATTGAAAGGTCGACTTTAAAGCTACAACCAGAAATTTTTCAGAATAAAGTCTGAGCGTCAGCTGAGAGTTCTGTGGAGTACAAAAGAAAGAGGTCAAGTGTCTGTCAGATGTAAGACCCAACATCTGATGGGTTTGTACAGTGCCATACATAAGTATTCACCCCCATGTTACAAGCTGGAACTGAAATAGACTTAATCAGGTTTTTTTACTCTTTGGTTTGCACAACATGTCTAACATTTCATGATGATTTTTTTTTTATTATTTTGAGGCAAATTGATTTAATGGTGCTCAGTGGGATGTTCATAGTTTAAGATATTTTTTTAATAACCAAACCCTGAACCCAGAACTTTGTCCTGGACTTGTTTTGATAGCTCCTTGCACTTGTTTAGGCATGTTCTCGAACAAACTCTCACTTCAGTTCAACTAATTATGTGACTTCTGATGGGAACTGGTTGCACCAGAACTAATCCACCACAATGAGGGTGTATACTTATGCAATCAATTTTATTTGTAAATAATTGTGCAAACTAGACAGATTTTTTCCACCCACTGCAATGTTATGCGTTACTTTGTGTAGATTTGTGACATTTAATCCCAATTAAGACCATTTCAGTTCCAGGTTGTAACACTACAAAAATGTGAGGAAAGTTGAAGGGGGTGAATACTTATGCAAGGCACTGTAAGCATTTGTGCTGTTAAAATGCAAACGAAGCATCAAGTGAATCTCAAATATCTGCTGTTTGCTATTTTTATTTGGGTATCTTAAGTTCCTAAAGTGTACTTTAAAAGTAGTAAAATGCCCAATTGTGGTTGTAAGGATGGAAGGTGAAGTAAAGAGAGAGAGCTTAACTTTATTGCTTCATTTAAAGAACTAATTAAGTGCTTAATTTGCGGTTAGCATGATGAAGTATGTGATCAGTTCCCATCTTGTTGTTTGTTAGCATTTACTTCTATCATTCTCTGGGAAAACTTTGTATGTATGCTTTTTGTTTTTTATTAAATCTCCCAGAAATGTTTTTCTTGTTGGCAATTTTTCATTAATCTTCTACAAAACTTTTTTTTTTTTTTTTTTTTTTTTTTTTTTTTTTTTTTTTTTTTTTTTTTTTTTTTTTTTTTTTTTTTTTTTTTTTTTTTTTTTTTTTTTTTTTTTTTTTTTTTTTTTTTTTTTTTTTTTTTTTTTTTTTTTTTTTTTTT